GAGGTTTAGCAATGGACTCTGTTCATGCTCGTACGTCGTGGCCTGCTATATTTAGCAGAAATATTTATCCACTAAGATTGGCGGAAGATTTCTCTTCTTAATCTAGTGGGCAATCACTGTCATTAGTGCGACATCATGTGGCGTCATATCGCATGTCGACGTCACTATTTCTCACTAATTTTAGCAGAGAAATATATCTCCGCTTGGTTTAGCATGAAATCTTTTTTTCTAAATTCAGTGAAAATTTCGTGTTACGTGACATCATTTATATCAATCAAGATGCGGTAGTATCTCAATACATATACAGGAAGCAGACAGCCCCACACTTTCTGCACCGGTGCAGGTAAATCAAACGAAGCTTGTGTTATGTTATGGCATCACGTGATGTCAGTGTCATAGAACACCATCCGCTAAATATAGCAGCACATAAATCTGTTAAATTTGAAAACGACTGTGCACCGGTGTGCTGTTTCGGATATCGCCGCAGTTCTTTTCCAAGGCACGGCAAGGAAGCGAGGATAGGCCCTTTCTGAAACCACATCAAGCGACATTGGCAGTTGCCATTTCTTGGGCACGGAGTGTACGACTGAATCCGTGTCCTCACCGAACGCTGGTGCAGCACTCGCACTTGACACATGCTCATAGTAATTGTGATAAGAACATAGAGGACTCAGCTAGTTCGCGCAGCAGCCACTAGATAGAGCGCGTTTCTGAAAAGGGTCACCAGGCAACATGTTTGTAGATTGACAGCTAGAGCTCTAGTTGCTGGAAGGCCTGCCGCAAGGTTTCCAAGTACATGCGCGATAAGAGGAAGACGGGTGTCTGAGGTGCCTCGAAGTCTCTGGGCGAATGAAGTGTGTGCCGTAAACCGACTCTGGAGAAGAGCAGTTAAGGCACCTTTAGGATGATGTCACAGCATCACGACGATGTCACAGTTCCAGTGTGACGTCATCGAGGCCACATACCTGAAATAGAGATCCCTAAAAGCTGGCCCCACAAATGCTATTAATGTAATAGCTTGCAAAATGATCGAATCTAAGCACAAAACCAATGAATCCCTACACAGCTATCTGGAACGTTATGAAGCTCGAGAGAAGCGCCGACAAAGATCGACTTCGATACAGTGCACAACAGCTGTGCAGGGAAATTGAACGAGCTTTCAGATTAAAGCACAGCACAGGCCTACCTTTTGAGACCCGATCCAGCCTGGGCTCATTGACTAAAAATCTTATCCGACCCAGGCCCTGCCCAATGGCACGCTTATCTGGCATGGCCTAGCCTGAGCCCGGACAGGCTGGAGGTGCCGCCATGACAGTGGGCGATAAGGCATGTCTCGGGCCCGAGCTCGGCCCTAAACGAAAACACTGCATACTACCCGGCTCGGGCTTGTACAGAGCTCTAATTTAGATGTCTGACTCGAGTATTTAAACTCGAATTCCTCTTCCGCGGGGCTGATTTAGCGTAGCGCGTTCAACCAGTCCACCCAGAAGTTAATCACGTGATGACATAAAATGCACCACTGTACTGTTATCGATCCATTTTTTCCCTCTAAAAATAGAAAAAAAAACTGATGAAGAGAGTTGGGAAATTGTGAATCTGAGCTCTGGTAAAAGGGCCATCCAATCGACGCTCCCTAAACCACAGTGAAGATTTTATACCCTTTTTTAACCTGCCTGTGAAATGCAGAATATACAAACAGAAACCCTTACGAGGCCACCAGACGTCAGCTTAAACACAATACAAACAAAATGTCTCATCACGTTGTCGAGAGTTTTGACTCAAGTAGTCCCTTTTCCTTTTTGATCCTTTTCAAAACCCCGTCAAGCAACATTGGCGGTCGCCATTTCTTGGGCACGAAGCATGTGATTGGATCCGAGCCTTCACTGAACGCTGAAGCCGCCAACGTTCTCGATAGGAGCTAAGCTAATCTCACGTCAAATTCTATTGCAGCCCTCGTGTCGAGTACATATTCTCAGAGTGCGTGTCCAAGCAATGGCTGCAGTCTCGGAAAATCGGCACAACAGCCACTAGATAGTTTACAGTTTGGAAAGGGTCTAAGAACAACAGCAGAGGTGATACAAGAAATGTTTAGAGCACTGCGCATGCGATAGAACATAAAAATTTCCCCACGATACACGAGACCTCTGGAGAGAGATGACTCGCGAGGAATTCTACAGGTAGATTCAAAGCAGTTCACACGTGTTTTTTTTTTTTTTTTTTTTGTCATTTTTCAGTATCACGCGTGCAAGCATGATCTAGTTTTGCCTCAACAAAATGATCACTGCTTTCAGAACACTCCATGCATACCTGTCGATATCGCCAGCAATGAATATACACGGGGACAGAGATGTCGTCAAGCGGTAGAAGGCTTAAGTCATCTCTAAGGCGGCAACGAAACCTTCGCTGTCGCCTATTGCATCATTTAGCCTGGCATCATTCAATGTGGCCCTTTAAAGGGGTACAAAACGAAGTGATATGGCTGCAAGCTTTTTACGTCTCGCTTGAAAATCGGCCAGCGAGAAGCGCAATGCTTATCGTGCTCGTGACGTCAAGGGCCTCTGCACGGTCAAGGGTACTGTAGTTGCAATCATTGCCGCCTGGTGGCGTCAATGTGTGACAATCTTGCCTAGTAGTAATATCCGAGGACTGTATGCCCTATGGCCTATACATAGCTTGCCCCTAACGATATGCATTCGTGGCCATGCCAGTATGTAATGTGCCGTGAGCATTTGGTCCACTGTGTTAGTTTCCCACCGCAGAGGTAGGAGCTTGAGGGAACCAGTAAGTAGAAATAACCGTCAGTACCCAACAATGGCAACGCCTGCAAGCTATGTATACAATGTATTCACTGGGCGCCATATTTGAGTACGTAAAGGCCTGTCCATACAGGACACTTCAGAAATCGTGAGGCAATATAGGCGCCGTGCAACAACCAGCTTCCGTCCTTTTTTTTTTTTTTTTTTTTTTTTTTTGCCGAGGGGAATGTTTTCTTAATGTCAAAGTTCGCCCATGTCCCTCATGGGGGCCTGGAGCATGCTCACACGTGAGTCCGAACTAGGGGTGTCGCGAACCGGCCGCGGTTCGAGTTCGACCAGGTTCGACTTTTTCGAACTTTTAGTCAAAAGTTCGGCGAACCTTGTATTGAGGTTCGACTCGTGTGCGCATGCGCGACAGGCTGGCCAGTTGGCTTCGGATTGGATGGTGATGGCTAAGGGATGAATCAAGGGCAGCGCTAATTGGTTCTTTCAGTTAATTCAGTACAAAAATATAAGTTATTAACTTCTTCAGTGATAAGAATTGATTTATTTTAATTGTAACCGTTCATAAAAAAAAATAACCCATTGCATACAAAAAAAATTCTCCAAACCTAGACATGCTTGTATCAAGGTCTGGCCACAGTGTCCACAAAGTCGAACCGGTCGAATCTGGTGAAAAGTTTGAAGGTTCGTCGAACCCCGAACGTTCGACCTAAAAATCCGGTTTGACAAAAAGTTCGCGACACCCCTAGTCCGAACTGCCACTCGCAGGCTCTATTGGCTGTCAATCAATCGCTCAAGGCCTCTGCTGCTCTTCAAAGTCCCAAAAACGGAAAAGGGGACGGGTGTGTCCGAAATCTTATCCAAATACTGTAGAACCCTTTATCTTCGCGGCCCCTATTTTTAACGAATCGGCCACAGAGGACATAATCGTGGCCACCAAATTTCGCGAATTCCAGACGCCTGCATTTAAACCGAAGTCCGAAATTAAGGATACGCGAAAACCAAAATTTTCGCGTGTCCTTGAATTTTGCAAATTTTTCAGCTCGCGAAAATTAAGGGTTCGGGAACATTAGGGGCTGAAAACATTAGGGCTGAAAATGAAAGATTAATCGGTTAACTTGTGCCGGAAACAAAAGAATGAATGAGCATAGAAAAAGCAGAAGCGGGCATCACGGCGGCGAAGTGACAGTTGGCTTGAGCGAGACTGCAAGAGAGAATGAGTCGGCAAGGCCATGCTACAATACTAGGTATCTCGAATACTCGACCTAGAATGTTCAGGAGTGAGCAAGTGCTAGACTGACTCGGCGAAAACATCTAGTCCTTGCCTTTTACGCTCGGGGTGAAAGTAAAGTGGATCCTCTAGAAGTATGAAGCGTTCCTTCTTGGTCATGCACGCGCCTACGTGTTAGACCCCTCGTAGCCCTGCCATAAAAGTAATTGTGGGTATGCTTAGGCAGCGGGGAAGCTTGTCAGCTCCAAAGGGTGTCTGGCGTCTTTGTTATAGTTGAGAAATTTAGCCAGCGCAGTACGATTGCTAGCCTGGGGTCTTCAACGTGTATCATTAATTTGTCAGGCAGTAGCGAAACCCGACCACATGCTGGCATGATGCTCATCCAGATCTGCAGGCAGGTGTGGGGACTGAGCCCAGGGCCCTCGAGCTTCACAGCACGAGCATGTGCTCCGTGTCCTCCAAGCTGCGGTACATTAACACGCACGGCCACTGATTCCCCAGCCTTAGCAAGTGCAAAAACAATTAATGAAAAAAAATCAGGGTGTACCTCCACATGCTCCTTAGAAACCAAATATCTTAAGGTCCAACAAAAAAATTGGCTGCAGAAACCACTATTGTTGGTTGTCTATGAATTGTGATAGCATTTGCCTAGGACCCCAAGGACGACATCTAGAACCTCTAGGGCGACCTCAAGGATGACGTTTAGAACGACCTCTAGGGCTATCTCCAGGATGACCTCTAGGGCGACCTCAAGAACAACGTTTAGAACGACCTCTAGGGCTATCCTAAGGACAACCTCTAGGACGATGTTGAAGAAGACGTCAAGGTTGTCAAGGTTCTTCGAAGTGGGTGTAAATGGTTAAAAAGGCAAAAGTCCAAGGAATCTTGGACTCTTGCCTTTCATGTGACAGCTAAAGAATGCCGTCACATGAAAGGGATGGCTGTGCCCCGCACATCTGCAACTCACTTTTAATCAGTTTCCTGCTATGAAAAAAGAATGGCAAACCAAATATCAACAAAAGATTTATACAGAAAAATTCTCGTGTAATGGGCATCAAGTGACCAGTGCAAGTAATACATCTTTTCGAGCCAGAAAACACAAGTATTGCCGAAAAAACAGGTTGAGCATCTGGCAACTCATGCCTTCGTCTCCAGATCTGCACAACTTAGAATTTGGGTATTCATACACCCAGGCCACCGAACAAGCCACATCTATGAGTATTGGCATTCCGTTCCAAAATCGAAATTTTCTTGCAGACGCTGCCTCTTTGGCGCCTAGCGCAGGGCAGGTGCGATTATTGATCGTTACGATTCGGCGTCGTTCTGCTCCGTCGCACTTTCAACATTCCAAGAGGACAGAAAGGCGTTTCCTGCAATTTCAGGAAAATCTACAGATTAACCGGCAACAGCGATTTTACACCACAACATTGCAGAAGCGTCGTTGTTCTGAAGTGTAGCCTATTCGGTGGCTCTAGCTGGACGACTGCACACTGGAACAGGTCCTATTGCAAAGGTGCACTGTGTAGATGCCCCAATTACTTGTTGAGGTTCTTGACTCTTGCAACGAGGCAGCAATGGAGTCATGGAAATGATGGGGAAATTAAGTGGTGCACGTCTGTGGTGCTGCCAAGACACTCTTGGTATGGTTGTGTTCATTTGCCCAAAACGTAGCAAACATTCGTTGGTATACAAGCAGATAGGTCAGACACTTGTGACGCAACAGAAGCCTGCAAACTCTGAGATGCGAGATGGCAACAGTCGTATACTTTGTGCCATAGAGTTATTATAATGTACGCTAGAGGTTCAACTGGCGCTAGTGTCTATGCGACTTCCGGGAGGCAAAATGAAGCAGACAGCAACCAGTCTACTTTTGCGGTGCTCCTGTGCATTCCTATGGGAAAACGCGTGTGAAATTTGTCTCTTCGCCGGAAAATAACATGAATAACTCTTATTATTTTGGTTGTACCAAATAGTATGTACATTTATTAATATTGTAAAAGTGTAATTGCTTTATTTACAGCATTTTTCTTTACGACTGAACGATGTTATGCTTCGCTATATTTCAGGCCCAAACCTATATTCCATGGCAGGTATGTAAAAATGAGCGACGATTATAAGCAAACTAACAATCGAAAAGAATGTGGAGTGTGTTCAAGGTTCGCAAGCATTGCGGTGGCACTTATATATTGCTAATATGCCCGTCCTGTCACTCTATGAAAATGTTTCCTTCGTGCTTCTTTACGACGGTTAAAAAACATTTGAATGTAAGAAATAAAGTATGTGGACTATGAAACGTGTGCCTTTTTATTATTTCCTATGACGGGCAGTTTTTATCGGGCACATGTTCTCTGACTTCTCCCTATTTGCAAAGATTTGGAGTGTGCGGTTGATGATTGGAACCCAGAACATGCATCTTTGCACATATTCATGAGCAGAAAGAATAAAGCAGTACTTATTTATTGCAAATCGGACTATATTACGTGGCTTTCAATTTATTTTGATCGCCTGCATGCACAAGGAGTTACTTATCCAGTTTTACTGCATAGTTCTTGCCGTCTCTCTTTGTTTTCCACATGTCCTTCGTTCGTTTGACACGTATATCCCCCATGGTGGAAAGCGCCCATGCCGTGTTAGAGCTAACAGTGTCCGACAGTGCACATAAATACCTGTATGAAGCGGTTTTAGCACAGTTTTTCATGCCACGAATTTCAAATAAAAATGCCTAAACTGATCAATTATTTTGTCTGCGTGACTGAGAAATGTTCCAATGTGCCAGTAGGTACGAAATATTCGTGATATTTGCTCTTATAATCGAGCGCAGCTAGAAAATGTACTCACTTTTTCCCATAGAAAAGCATTACTGGAAGTCAATTTCCGACTGGTTGCTGTCTGCTTCAATTTGCAGCAGCACACCAGCGCCACTTGAACCTCTAGCGTACATTACAATAACTCTATGCTTTGTGCGTGCCTGGCAGAGAGGCCCGTACAATTGAACCTGCTTACAACACATCTAATTTATGGAACAAAATGTATTCCCAGATCTCAACTCAATCAGTAACACAGATGTCTGTACAAGCATGATTAGCTTGTTACACTTTTTCTTAATCACCCTAAAATGCCGATCACACACTCTTGCCCCCAACTATGCATACCTACTTTTAAAAAATAAGTGAAGGACATATGTATCAAGCTCTATACCCTCCTTGTGTAAGGAAAATTAAAGAACACACAAAGAATACATAAAGCATTAGTCGAAGGGGGATGCCATTATTTCCACAATTATATCAATATTTTAGGTGGGCAATTGCTTGGTATTTAGTACATTTATCTTTTTATACAGGTTGCAACCATTACATACTACTACCATGCTGCAGGTAATCTTATAAAACAAGTAAATATTTCTTATTTGTGCTTCGACGGTACTTTAATAAATGGATACCTTGACGGTTTTACCGAGGCTAGAAGCTTGCCCAGTCTTTCCTTTAAAGTTCAAGATGTAGCCAGCATATGTTTGCCATATGCTAATGTGTATACATGCCTGCATGCACCTGCATGAGCTAAATAACAGCCCCTAAAAGTATGTAAGCTGGCATACCAGCTGACATGCTGGAATGTAATGCTTGTCCAGATATTCGAGATTGCAGCATAGTAGAAATACTACCATAAATCATGACCTTTCATTGACTGATACTATTACTACAGACCAGTTCCAGTGTGCCACCCCAACACGATTGCAAGAAATCATCAAAAAGAAATCATCAAAGAGAATTACACCCTCACGTCATCTGGATCAAAGGATTGCCATTCACTAAAACAGCCTCCACCCTGACAGACACACGCAACGGTAATTGAGAAAAGCTTGCCAGACCCAACAGGGTTATCCCAGAGGCAACTGCAAACATCCATGTAAAACATCTCCATTCAAACCACTCCTAAACACAATAACAACCACACACACTTCAACAGCAGCTTGCTTTCAAACTATATTCATTTCCCCCTTTGAGATCTATAATGCTTTATAAAAAATATGCATCGCTTTCCTCACCTTTGTTCTTCTAGGTACTATTCAAACAAAACATTTGCTAAAATGAGACCCGTATGGGTCCCGCAATTGGTCACGTCTGCTATTCCCAAACGCCCCCAACACGTCTGCTATCTCGGGCATCCCAAATAACCCCACTACCTCAAGGGCCCACAACATATCAAGCGTTGCCAATACCTCCGCCATCTCAAGTCCTTAATCGTTTCCAACACCTCCGCTATCCCAAAAGCCACCAACATCCCTAACACGTCGGTGCAGACGAACCTAGAGTTGGTCCACGACACCCGTGGCAGTTTCTCCTTTTTACAACTCCAACACCTTATTAAAACAGAAACAACTAAAACGCTGTGTCCAAACTGGCACTCAGAGTCTCACACCACAGGCACACGTGGCGGCTTTGGTGTTGCAAACCGTGGCAGTGGAAGAGAGACGTTGAGATTCCGTCCGGATTCAGCCGAGGCCGACGTCCAGCGCCATCATCACCACAAAGCCGAGGATCGTTGTCCAAGAAGCCAGTCTGCCATTGGAGCTGTGTTTCATGGAAAAAAATACTATTAACGTATTTTCGTGCGTATTACTCACCCTTGCATATGACACACATCCCCCAAGTTGCTGCACAAAAAAAACCTCGCATATTTCTTCTTCTAAGTATGCAAAAGAACGTAGAGATCTTCCTGGCAACCGTACCTTTATTTAGAATACACTCGTTGCTGCAGTCACTGCATCTGTATGGGTTATGCTTTAGCTGTTGCAGGTCGAGTCGCAATCCCTGCCGTCAAGGCGACTGCTGGTGCAACACGTTTTGAAACTGTTCCACGCAGTCTCGTTTAGAATGCTCGCAATCACAGCAGATTCTTGACAATGTGGAGTGACTGCGACCTCTTCTCTCCTCAATGAACTTCAAGAGTGATTTTTCAAGCTCGGGGTATGCATTGGTCTTCGGACCACAGAGTGACCTACGGTTGCGGTTTGCAGTTTCAGGGCTCTCCTTTCCCCATTTTCGCACGCCACGATTCGTCAACGTCGTGGCGGCCGTAGTTCTGGCCTGCTGCTCGGTTTCCAATTTCTTCGGCAACGGATCCAACGACAGTCGGATTTTTTTGTCGAAGAGGCTGGAAACCGCGAAAATTGTTGCCATCGATGGCAATGAAGCTTCGCACGTTGGGTTAAAATTGATGGCACGGCTCGGTAGCTCGGCCCGCAAAAACAACGCGAGGTTGGCTACCGGAAAAAAGGAGGACAAGGTGGGGGACAAAAACGCCCTAGAAGAGCCCGGAGAAGAGGGACTCTGGGGAATCCATTCCTACGACTATGCGCGCAGTGCTGTGAAGCCGCACTGCCCGCCAAATCTGCATATGACCAGACCTTTTGATGAGGGTTATATGCGAGGAAAACCGGCATTTATTTACCGATGCTGAGATGGTTGGAACACGTCTCTGAAAGGTGTGTTTAGCTTCCTATCACTCCGATGCATTAAAAGGGGACCCGAAGCGGCGACGAATGATGTCGCGGGAGCCAGCCTGTTGCACTGTCAGACGCTGCGATTCTGGCGGTTGGGCGTAGAAGTTCTGCGGAAAGAGACGAGCAAACGCGAGTGTTGCTGTCGTTGTAACGTCCCAACTTCTGGCTGCCGGAGCTTCCATGGGACGTCGAGCTGGAAAAGTGACCTGCAGAAGGACAGGCGTCTGCCACGTCCACCTGCGCTGCTGTGACACGGCCAGGACTGAGGCAGGCAACAACGTGGCATAAAGCATTTCACAAAAATAGGAAAACGTGGCATCCAAAGTCCCATACCCTCGCACCTCCTTGCTACCGTGACGTGTACCATGTGCCGCTGAATAAAGCGAGAGGGTAGCAGAGCAGCAAGCCTGCCCTGGTTTGCTCGCAGTCGCCTTTGAGATCTCCTTTGTCATGCTCCCGGCATTGCTTTTGGCGCCACAGACGGTGCTGTACACTTTGTAAGAGGTCTATACTATAGCGTTGTTGGGCGGGAATCGAGAAACTGCACATGCTAAACACCCCAGTCAGAGATGCTCCAGACACTGTTTTGTAACTGAATTGTATACTGCAAAGATGAAGAGCGCAAAAAGCAACTTGTGCACTCACCAGGCCTGAGCTTCGGGCACGATGTCGTCCACGACCACGTAGACCATGGCCCCCGCCGCAAAGGCCAGTGCATAGGGCAGAATCGGTTGCGCCATGGTCACCGCCAGGCACCCCAACACCCCAGCTAGTGGTTCCACCACACCGCTGAGCTGGCCGTACCTAAAAAAGCCAGTGGGAGCACTCTGTTATACGTCCTAGGCTTCTCAGTGGGCGAGCTCCGCACTGGTGTGGGGCTGGCCTAGATTATAGGGGCGCACAACACTCTTACTGTTTTAGCATCGGTAGGTTTAGATGCCGCACTCCGAACAAGTCGTCGGGCCTAACCTCGCTCCCTGTACTCAACTGCTATGCATGCCTGAATACCCCTCCCGTTTGCAAGCACACGCTGCACTTTTCCCCGTGAAACTTCCCTCCCTCTACTCTCTGTTCCCTTAGCCATGACCTTCCCTATTTTCATGATCCCTAGAGTTCCCCACGTTTCCCGTCGTAACCTTCCGCTGCCTAGACACTCGCAGTATGGGTGTCAAGTTGCGGCGACAGGGGTCCTCCCTGCCGCCGCAACTTGACGGGGTCACTGTGAGCCTACTTTCCTTACAGCGCTTGGACTCCTTCTGACGGGGCACCCCAACCTCTCCACGGTAACCTCTTCGCTCCGGTCTTGAGTTATTTCCAGACTACTTAGGCCTCCAGCTCATGAGGCAGCCCAGATGCAGAGACTTAGGCAGAACACCTCTTCCTCCTCAGGTACTCAGTAAACGATTCTCTATAAAGGCATGTATCCTTAGAGTAAGTAAATTAATTTCTCAATCAATATACTAGAATTATCATAGATCAGCATATTGGCACACATTTTCAATCGCAATGGTTGCAACAGTTGTTGCGGGTTGCTTGGGCAGTACTGCAAAGAGTAGCGTGGTCACGCCTCCACGCAGCTAGAAGAAAACCCATTGCTCTTAATTAAGAAAACACTAAATCAAACTTTTTTTTAAAGGGCATACACGGGATACATCTTCAAGAAAAAATCTTTTTCACGAAATAAAAAAGAATTCTGGTGCAATATTTGCGCCGTTAGATCCAGTTTAGGTGGAGCTCACGTCACGCTCCAAGCCCCGCCCCTTACTACCGGACTGGCTCGGCTGAACACGCTGACGCGCCCAGTGTCTACCTTTCGCAACATTCAATGCAAAACTCGTCTGGTGTCTGACACAGCCTGCTAGTCGTGCGAGCAGACGTGCAGCAGCCTCCCGTATCGTCTGCCGTTTCGTTACCGTTCGTCCTCTGCAATGCCCGTAGGACACAGATATGGACGCCTGCGTGTCAGCGTCCGTTTTCGTCTTCGTCCGTCTCCTATTCCGCCCTTGTCTAAAAACGTTGACAATGCTCGCAAGATTAGACCGTGCAAGCGGCATTCTAGTGTTCTATTATGCACGAGCCACGGTTCAATGTAATCGCCCGTCAGCGTCTGTCGACGTGCGGTAAAAAGCGGCCAAGAGGGATAAAAAGAGCAACAAAATAAATATGCAGTCATTTCAGCTTTTATGTTTTTGTTATTTCTTTTCGCATGGCATCTGCAAGAAAGGTGAGTGAACATTATGACGCACAATTAAAACATAACCTAAAAATATTTCCATTGGCAGGCCAGGTGCACTGCAAAACCTGAGCTACCTGCCTTTCAAAGCGAGATGACGAGAACATCGACAAACTTGACATGTGAGCCGAGCACCCGAATGCCTCCAGCAAAACGACTCTCAAATTCGTACCTGTGTAGGTATCTTCTCGAAACTAAACCGTGGTTGCAATCGCAACTGCTGCACAATTCGCAAAGCTGCGGTGTCGCTTTTAAGGGAACCAACGCCTTCATTCAGCACCAACACGGAAGACAAGGTTGTGCCGTTCTGATGTACCTCCGTGGCTGCCCGACCGTTGCCGCTTTGTTCGTACGGTATGCCGCCTCATTGGGAGAAACACACCAGCTGTATTCGAAGTAAACTTGATGAGTTCTTCATCAGGGGTGCAGCCAAACATAAACGAGAATCATATGACAGTAGGATGCATCGATGGCCACATCCCTGTTCAAAAAACATGTTGACATACCGCAATGTCCAGAAGTAGCCTACCTAAAATCAACAACAGATTGGGTGAAAATAAAGAAGAATGGTCTAACTTTTGGTATGTGATAAAGAAAAGTTGAAAAAATGGTATTTTTAGATTATGTGTCCTTGCCAAACTTGTCATCGCGGCAAGGAGCAAGGGAGCAAGGATGACTACTTCTCAGTCAGCAATGTTTGCTTATATTTCGCCATAGCTAACCGGCAACATTTACACTGAGGCCATCGTTCATCCCAACACTAAAATTACTAGAAATGGGCCATCTTCCGGCATTAAAAAAAAATAGCGAGTCAAGCGAAAAATTGGGGCGGGTTATCTTTCGCGCAAGGGGCATCTCTTGGAGTAGGATGGTACCTTTCTTGCAACAGCAGAATCCTAGTGTTGAGAAGTTCTTGCTCAAATTTACTGCACGTAAACTCCCTAAAATCCCGTAAGGACGCCCGCCCCCGAGAGGTCTCCCATCCTGTTTTCGTGGCTAGATATCTGTAACAAAAATTCCAAAACATCACCCACCCCTCGATTCCCATTGGACTTCAAGCGATGTTCGACGGGAATCGCGCATGCGGTACCGGTACATCCAAGGAGTGAGTTCACAGAGGGTTCCTGCACTTTTGTCTGCAATCTGCGCACGTGATATCGGCTCCCGTAATACGCGAGTTGTTCCCGCGTGTATATTTCATCGTGAAATGCGAATCTGCTGTGTCCGCAATTTGCCGTATCCGTTCCCAAGTTCGTAGCGGATTCCCGTGTTTTTGTCCGCGATCTGCGCGCGCGATATCGATTCTTAGCTGTAACACGTGCGATATGTTCCCGAGTGTATAATGCCGCCCGCAGGGCTGAGAAAGCAATGCTCGATCACGAACCTCTAGAAAGTTCTCGTTTATTCTTGTTCCATATGTAACTTCTATCGTTTATCCCTGCTTTAGTTGTTCCAGAAAGTGCGTGTTCATTCTCGCCCCGAGTGCGCTACGCTCGAACCTTCTCCGCTGAATCTTCGAGATAGTGACTCCCCTTAGATAAGAGGCCGCCCGCGACCTTGTCAAGTCAGTCTCGCCCCAGCGCTCGATCCTGCGGTTTCGCCGACTTCGACGCCCGCGACGCTCTGTAATTATCTTTAGTACTCTTTTATTTTTGGCACAAGTTCGCCACATTAAACGTTTATTTCTTCCTGTTTATCTATTGTTTTTGGTCACCACCTGTGACAATATTGCATCGTGAAATGCGATTCTGTTGCGTCCACGATCTGCAGTATTCGTTTCCGTGACATGTGAGTTCGTAGCGTATTCCCCCGTTTGTGTCAGCGATCTGCGTGCGCGATATGGGTTTCTATGACAGGCAAGATTGTAGCGGGTTTCCGTGCCTTTATAACACCATGAAACTTGTATCTGCTGCATCCGCGACCTGCGTTATTGGTTCCCGTGACATGCAAATTCTCGGTGGGTTTCCGGGAGTCTCACGCACCGTGAAACGCGAATCTGCTGCGTCAGCCACTTGCGGTATCCTTTCCCATGACAGACGAGTTTGCAGCGAATACCAGCATGTTTATAGCATTGTGAAAAGCGAATTTGCCGTGTCCGCGATCTGCGCTATCAGTTGCCGCGTTAGGTGGTTTGCACGGGTGCTTATCATTGGTTTTTGATAAAATTTTGCTGTGGCATCGCCAAAGATAGCCCACCCCTTGTTTTTTTCCCATTTACCCCTCCATTTCGGGTAGGCACTCTTACGGGATTTTACAGTAGTCAGTTTCAAATTGCAGCAAGGTCGTTTTGTTCGAGGGAGAACGTGGAGATGTACAGTATAAAATATTAAGCACTTTAGGAGGAAACTCCCTTGCGGCTATGCCACTGGTCCAACTGAATGAATTTTTAAAGTCTAGGTATTTCTGTAATGCCTACCTCAGAACCTCTTTCACATTTAATTAAGACATTTAATAGAGAAGCTCTACAATATGTGTCTCCAAACCCCGGACCGCGGACCAGATTCGGCCCGGGAGGCTTTCCTACCGGCCCGCGGTCCATTTCCAGTAGGCCCGCTTTCACTGGCTAAAAAATAAGCGCGTGCTCACCGAACACTTTGTATCCATGCCGATTCCCATCCCGCCGACAGTTGTGTGCCATATTTATTGCACATTGTCACCACCGGCATACCCATTCTTAATCTCCTGTCTCACGTCCGCGTAACTGCGTAAAAAGTATTTTGAGTTCTCATGTGAATTCTGCATAGCTTCCCCGTGTCATACTTGTTGCATATTGTCCTGCCCAGTTCTACTTTTCTTAGTGGTCTTCTGCCTCGTGCGAATATGCCAATGTTTGTGTACGCTTTGATTAATGCCCTTTGAATTTTTCTGGGCTACAATTGTCGTATAATGTAATAGTTAGGTAAACATTAAATTATATATACTGTACAATATATATGTCTGTATTACTAGCAAGTCTCGTTATTTTAAGGTGAAAGCCTTATATGTCTCATCGTTCAGTTCTTGAGCAAAAAAGCATTGGCAACATGAAAGGTAGGAAAACCGACGACATGAAAGGTACCAAATATTTTACGTGACATCTGCGAATATTTTTATTCCTCCGAAAAGACATTTTGCTCTTACCCCTCGCCTGGCGTCGAACCAGCGACCTTCGTTCAGTAGTCCGACGCGGTACCCAGCTGCCACAGCGAAGGGGTACTTCCTTGGGTTTCGCCTTCAAGTCGTTTTAAAGATAACATAAAAGACCCTGTGAATTTTTTTTGTGTTTTCCCAGGAATATACCTCGAATTCTTTTTTAAATTTTACTCCACTTTGAATTTCTGCATTAAAATGCTTATATAGGTCTATTTATTTGTGGGTTTTATTTTCTAATTTATATTTATTCGTTTATTATTTGGCCCTCGAGGCCGCAACAGACACGTAATCCACACCCTTAGCCACAAACTTTGTATACCCCCGCTCTACGCCAAGCGAGGCAATATGTCGAAACGGTGTTGGCAGGAGAAGCTCTGCTGCCTCGTCGGTACTCACCAAAAGGCCTTCCATCGAGAGAAGCCGGCACCCCGCAGCGGCAAACTCACGGCCAGGCCTTCAGGAAAGTTCTGGATGCCAATGCCCAGAGCCAGGTTCCTGCGGGAAACCAAAAGGTGGCCCTAAGTAACAAAGTTCAACTTTTCGTTTTCTATACACGTTCACTTTTTTTGTGGCGGAAAAACACCCGGACATCTTCTAGTCCCCTCCCACGCTCGCGCAGAAGGCAGGCGCAACATTCGTAATGTCATGTAGCGTTCCCCGAGCAATGGACCGCTGCGCCCATCGATGAGGTCTTGCACGACGTTCTTAGAACTCTCGGTCGAAGAGCTATGCGGAGGAGCGTCATCCGGAAATAGATTTTCTCCGCTGATGGTAGCGGGTATGGGCAAACAGCGTTCCCAGCGTCACCAGCAGTGACACCTCGTCAACAAAACAGGACAGTTTTTGAACGACCCTCTTTTTGAGTAAACTTTACATTTACAGTAAAAACTGCAACAAGATCACTTTCCACCGCGGGCGATGCACATCTAACATTCAACGGACTCCGACACTTCCAATCGCGGGGTGGGCTGAGGCGTGGCAGCCGCCAACAAGACGTGGAACAAAAAGGTACCGGGCATTCTAGGAAGCTTGTGTGCTGACTCTGATCTAGTGATGTCAGCCTTGCCCCGATCGAGTGCCGTCAGCGAAGTGAGCTGCGATACAAGCGGACAATTGAGGCACAAACTGTGCAGATCGCGTGGCAGCAGTTTGTGTGAAAACTTAGAGGGGGGTTCGGCAGCGATCGTCGGTGCCCGAAGCCGGGGAAGAGCTCGGAATCCCAGAACCGAGGCGTCACGGCGGCATTCTTCTGGTTCTCGAGCGTGTGTGCTCGTGGGTCGCACCGAGGAAAGTCGACGCGGGTGTTCGGGCACGCGCTGACCTCTTAGTTCCGATCGGCGACGTGAGAAGTTGGTCAGAACAATTTTGCGTTGCCGGGCCAGTTGCTCGGGAACCCGAAATGTCGCCCCGACGCCCCCCAGCCCCGGGTGGGGGCCCCGCACCAGTGTCTTTTTCTGCGATAGCAGTTAGCGGGTACATTGTGTGGGTTTCGCGCCGTTGACCACGCTTCACACCGACGCAGGCCTTTTCGGGCACACCGCCAAATGATTTCACACCGACATTGCGCCGCTCGAGACAACTCTGACGTCACAAGGCGCATCGTGTCACCTGTCACCTGGCGTCAGCTGACACCGTGACGTGACATTGTCATGTCAAGTCACTTTGCACAGCAACGCTCCACGACTTGATGAAGTCGGGCGACACCGTGAGTGATGCGACGTCATGACACTACATTATGCTGCGACGTCACGTGACAATACGCCGTTGCATGACACCATGACGGCATGTACAATTGTAATCATGAGACTGCTGATAATGGAAACAAGTAAAATAAAGCATTTTTTCTAATCCTTCCAGAAAGGATCTCAGGCGATAAAACGAATAAAGCTAGGTGGGTGTTATGCTGACGAAACCGCCTGAAACTTGAGTGCACAATTTTGGAAGTGTCCTTTAGTAACCACAAGGCAGTGTCAGTTTGTGTCCAATAACATTCCATAAGACGTTCAAGCAGCCACACTGATGACAGGGAATGGTTCATGCATACACACGCAGTTTCGTCGTTCGCTGGATTTCAAACTTGGGCACAGAATTCTCGAAGTGTTTCTTCATTTACCAAAAGGCAGTCGTAGTTTGTGTCCAATAAAATTGTTTCACAGGTTTACAAAATGCTCTCTACCTAATACACCCGCATTGGTTCCAAAACACCCTAAAATTTTCGTACGGTGTGTTACTCGGTTTAATACGAACACCCATGCACACTCTATGGTACGTGCTCGCACTTTTACCTTTTATTCAGTCCATCTCCTCCGAAGTGATACTTTAGTGGCTTCGACGCCACACCTCAGCTGTCGCAGTGTTTCACCTTGCGGGTTGCGTAAATGCCCGGACTTTTTTTTTCTTCTCAAAGTGGTTTGCAAGCATATTTGACTTGCAATATTGTGTCGGGCTTTCGAGCAACCTGCCCTTGTTATTTTTACATATTTTGTCAGCACTGTGTGGGCATACAGTCGCCGACCGATTATTCATACTTCGCTGGGACCGAAAAAACGTCTGAATAATAGAGCAGTCCGAAAAATCAGCAGATTGAAAAACTTGCCTTTATTACTTCCAAGTGCGCTTAAAAAAGCCGTAAATACAGGGTGATTCAAGGAGACAGCAGGCTCTTTAAATCGACCGCAAAATTCGGTTTCTTAACCTATCGCGCTACGACTTTGTGCAGCGTTGCCCACAGATGGTGCATTTTTTTTGTAAAATTTGCTAAGAGCGAACTTACCTGAGGAAAAAGTAAAGAAGGAAAAAGGCTTAGCTCCTACGGAATCGCAGCGAAGCCACCGATTTTCAAACAACACGGCGCCGTTTCACACGGGAGACAAGAGATGGCGCAAGCGGTCGCGACGCCAATTGCCGCCAACGAACGAGCAGACGACGCTGAGAGCCGGCGTTTTTAGCAGAGAAGAAACTGCAGTTGCTTGCTGTTACCGCGCCTGTTTTTGTTTCTGCGACTGTCGCCGTTTGCGGAAGGCGCGCCGCTTTTGAGTCGAAAAGATTGTCTGCTAAAAACGCCGGCTCTCGGCGCCGTATGCTCGTTCGTAGGCGGCGTTCGTTGTGCCATCTCTTGTCTCCCGTGCGAAACGGCGCCGTGTTGTTTGAAGACCGGTGGCGTCGCTGCGCTTCCATAGGAGCTAAGCCTTTTTCTTTCTTTACTTTTTCCTCAGGTAAGTTCGCTCTTTGCAAATTTTACGAAAAAAATGCACCATCTGTGGGCAACGCTGCACAAAGCCGTAGCGCGATAGGTTAAGAAACCGAATTTTGCAGTTGATTTAAAGAGCCTGCCGTCTCCTTGAATCACCCGGTACTGCCTTGGTTCAGGTTACACCTGCGTGCCTTGTTTTAGGTTACGCCTCCGTTTCCGTTCGACAGCTTTCTGTTAGCTTGAGAATCGCTGCCTTCTTTTCTAGCATTATGGTTGAGTAGCAGAAGAACAAATGGGGCCATGACGTCCAAGCCAGCGTTGTCTGAACGAGATCAGAGGCGCAAATCCACGAGCGCAAAATGGCGACGCGAAGGAACAAAAAACAAAGCAAAATGATAATAATGATGATGATGATGATGTGCAGCTAAATGGAAAAAAAAGGGCTAGCATAGTGTCACCTAGCGGTAGGACTCAGGAGTGCCCAAGTAGCGCTGCCAAACCAAGCCAATCCATTGGCAGGCAACATAGAATTCAAAATGGCCGCTTCTCGATGGTGTTTTCCGCTGATTGCTAGCGACGATTTTGTCCGAATAATCAAACTTTCGGAATTCAGGCTGTCCGAAACATTGGTCGTGAATATACACTATTTCTATGGGGTAAGTCATGGTTCTGCCTTTTGGGTCCAAAATATAGAACAAGTCCGAATTATTGGAGTCCGAAAAAACGGTTCACGACTGTATAACACAAGTACACTTGCGAGTACATCATTACTTTTTTTGTAGTTTTCTTTTTACTTTTCGACTAGTGCCTACGTGATGAAATAACCTTTTTTTTTACTTTTCTGCCATCTTTTTCGTTGTACAAGTCTCACATAAACTTCTTTTTTTAAGTAAAAATGAAGTGTTATTTTTAAACCAACGTCTCCAACTCCCTCCTACAACCCTGCAGCAAGTTCATCCGCCAGGGCCTGGACCTCTTGCCGGCCAACGGTAGAATCGAAACATAAATTTGCTCTTCATAGGAATTGGGTCTTTCTTTTTTTTAATGCGTTAGCTTAGTGCCATGGTACACGCGCTGACCTTGGACTGGTTTAGAGCACGGATATTAAAAGTTCGCAACGTCGCCACAAGTTGGCGCCACAGCCCCGCCTGCTATGGAAATGCAGGACGCATAGCAACAGAGGCTGCTGTTTGGCATTGGCTAGTTACAGGGAGCAACGCTGCGATGTAACACCTAGCGACCGAAAATCGCCGGTGACGTCCCCCTTTGACAATTTTGGCACCGCGCAGTGGGGGACAGCGGGTGTATCGATGGGGCATGTGTTACACTCCCCCTGGCCGTTCATGCCGCTTTGCGGCAACATTCTGCAGATGGTTCATTACTTTTTCGAGAATCAGCGTAGCAACAAGAGCGATTTCAGAACATTTTTTTTTTTTTTCTTCTCTTTAATTTTCTTAAACTTGACACCCAAAATAACCCTTCGACAGTCGAGTTATTCTCCCAAACGATGCTTCCCGGTGAGCGGGTTTTGTTTCCAAATGAACAACATAATTGTCAATGAGCAGGTTTTTCCTTAACTCTTTCCTGACCGTGCCTATAGGCCATCGGTCACCGGTGACTGATCGTTTTCAAGTGCCGTCAAGAAATTAAATGTAGTGCGGAGAATTGTGTTCCATAATCTCGTGGATAGCCAAAAAAACTCTAGTTTTGGTTTCAATGTAGGTTCAAGCTTTATTGCAAGCTGGTGGGCTGTCAAAAATAGTTCTGAAAACAGTGATTGCCCTTGTCTAACTGCTTGCACCAGTCTTTGTAACAAAGATGGCATTATTTACATATTTCAACTGTATTGTGGCCATGTTTTTTAGGCCTCAAGAGCCTTGGGGTCACTTTAAATTATGTTATAGGTATCGCTTAACAGATGGACGTCGGTATGCATCATTATAATTTCCAAGGCCGGCGTGCATGTTTTATGTTTCCAACAAGGTGCACAAAAATGATAAATATGAGGGAACTGCAATCAAGGCTATGACAAAACCAAGGTAGAACACAAGGAGAGCATTCTGCTGGGGATGCCAGGTCTACTATCGGTGATTTACCAATATAAGCATTCCTTCGTTTAGAAGCACGCATGTTAGGGAGGCTAACTCTTCGACGAACAAACAATAGACAACCTCAGTTAGAGTACACAACTTTCAAAAGTAACAGCCGTGGGCGTGATGCAGATTTTCTATATTTGTAATTTTTCTTATTTACCGTAAATACGGAAAATCCTGGCTGCTGAAACTTCCGCAGACTCTCAAGCTGGAGAGCGATTTACAGCAGAAGAGGCAAGTAGCATCTGCACCGCTATGCCACCGCCAGGATTGCGACAGGCAACGCAGGTAAGAGACACGTCCCAGCCCACTGTGGCGATACACCTCCTTACCTGGCGCTCTCGAATGTCGAGTGCTCGGAGCTCCCAGCCGCGCCAAAGCCCACGCCGACTGCCAGGCCCTCTGCAATCGAGAAATTGTGCAAGTTCGCCCTGACGGCCAGATCCGGCACTCGGGAAATGGAAAAACGTACCCTCTTTTTCCGGAAACCCCGGAAAATGAGGCTCGCATCTTCTTTTAGCTTAGGGTATTGTATATACCATAGAATCCCGAGCAAGCGCCCACCCAAACTTTGGAGACAATCATGTGAAACTGGGGGATGTGCACTTCTTGGGTCAACCAACAGTATGTAAAGATATGTCTCTCGTGTATTTCCCGAATGTTACAAAGTTGAAGGGTGGAAGCTTATTGTGGAATGGGCGGATGCCAGGTATTTTACAGTAGCATTTTGCTGGCTGCCTAGTCACACATACAAGCATTTTTGCTTTCGTGGGTCAGCCCACTTCAGTATGTGTTTTCATGTCAAGTAAAGTATTATTATTATTATTATTACGAAGGAGGGAGGGCAGACCATCCGGCGATGACCTGCTCTTTTGGCGGTCCGAAAACGGGTCCTGGTTCGTCAATTCTAGCTTTTGGTACTGCAAATTGACTGCCCCTCATAACCCACACTCGGCAATATGCTGGCTTCCTGTAGGAGCGAAGTCGGATACATCCAAATAAATTTGCTGCGGCGGCATTATTTCTTAATTAATTAGGTGGCAAAGAATACTGAAACTGGCTCCCGTTTATGCGCATATCGCCATCACAATACATATATGCAGGCTTATGAATGCAGTTTTGTCATGTCCACTGTCCAAAAAAGTGTGATTTACAACAATTTTTTCACAAAAATGGCTGTTTTTTTAGTAATTTTATTACCTCCTGCGGCAGTGAGCTTTCATTTTTTTGGAAAGGCCAATTTTGTCATACTTAGGTCTAAGGCAATTTGGTAGCTTCTGATTTACTTTGTTTATTATAAAAACTCTTTTATTTTTGTATTCGCAATGAAAATTGGCAATTAAAACACTGTGTGAAAGATGTTGCATTTCCTAAATTATGCATAACAAATAGTAAGAGGAGTCTGCCCGATCATTTGACCCCGTAAAGGAATCGTCAAAGCTATCGTTCCAATCTCCGTTACATCAACTGCTCAACTTCAGTTCCAAGTAAAGACGCTGATTGGGATCAAGTGCAAGTTTAATCCATTTCTTTTTTTTTTTTTTCTAACCACATATAAGGGCCTCTTCGAAACCAGATAAAATGACTTGGAATCACACTTTTAGCATTTACAGTCCAAAGAGGGCATATTGAGACTGCGAATGATGGAGCGCTACCCAATTCAGACAGTTCCGAGTTCAAAAGCCATTCCCAGTGTATCAGTGATGTGATTGGCCTAAGCCGTTTTGGAGCACCTTTCCGAGCAGCCAAAATAGTGTTTTGGAGCAGCAAAAGAGGACTTTGGAGCAGTCAGAACAGTGTTGTGGAGCAGCAAATGTGGCTTTTGAAGCAGCTAAAACAGTGTTTCGGAGCAGCGAAAGTGGCTTTTGAAGCAGATATTCTAAGAAAAAAAAATATTTGTTTCAAGTGCTGGACAAACGAGGGACACTTTGCTCGCCGCAGTAAACATATTATGGTCAAGTTAGACCACCCGGGAGTCTCAACATGTAACTGAAATGCCAATGACATGAAACATTTTGCAATGCTTCAATAAAATTATACATATATTTGTACCTGCTATAGGTAAATAAGAACCAAACTGCATCTATTAGAATTTATTTTAAAATGACCAGCTTAGTAATAAATATCACACCATTAGGTTGACTAGTTATATAATAAATAGAAGTAGTCTAACTGTTGATACACGTGACCACTGCAGAGCAATGCGAAATTGTCACGCGAGCGGAGATAGCTGTTTGATCGAAACCATGCCACTCCTCTCCATCGCCAACTGGTTCCCAAAACTGTACACAAATGTAACTGTCCAGCATACGACAAAAAACAACCCAGCCACACGTGCTTGCCAGAGCGGCTGGCAAGGTATAAGCTAAACACACAGAAAAAAAAAAGAACCTGAGCACATTGATGCAAGACAATACAGGCCAGGGTCAAAACATTCTTGGAGCAGTTTGTGCAACGACTGAACTCGAGACAAACAGACGTGGTGCGAGTTCAGCGTAACAGACATTGCCTTATTTGCTTTAGCTCACTTCTCTTCACCAACTCTTTCGTGGCAGATTTTTCACGTACTGGGGTCCCTCTCGAAAGAAAGCTTCCCGAGACAAACATGGGTAAACAGTGCTTCGACACAGCAGTCTTTGATCTAGAGGGATTTTGGTAGTACTGCATTAAGGGAGGAGGTGGGGAATAAATATGAACTTTCTTATTTCTAGAGATATCTGAACGAAATTTACAGGGTGTGTTTATAGCACAGACATAATAGTAACTGCAAAGTTTCATGGAGCTGTTCATATTATTTCTCAAGTTACAAATATTTATCAAAATCGTCCGTATGCATTCCTTATCCCAGGTCTGGAGAATTTGAAAAAGGTAGTAGCGGCGTAAAATTTGTTATGATGACCACTGGATAGGTTCCCCAGGGCATAACAGAGCCCTTTTTATTAATTTCTTTGTTGAAAAATTTTAACGCAACTTTGAATTTTGTGTAGTCAATGAAACCCACATTCATCAAATTTAATATTTTTATTATAAATTTTTAGCACAGTTTTCTAAAAAAAGGGCTCTGTTATGCCTTCACAAAGTTATTAGAGAACCAGAATAAAAAAGACAGCACAAAAATCCACTCATCAGTTCCTGAGATATCGCTGGGACGAGCAGCCACGGCAGTGAAAAAATCCATTCTGAGAAAACAGCACTTGAAAGTTGCACACAGATTTTCAGCTTTAGAATGACCCTCCAGAATAATCAGAAGTGTTCTTGCGCACTTTCTTCCTGTTCCGCCTTTCCAACTTCTCTTGATGTCGTTTGCTGGCCTTGTGCAGATGTAGGGCATCTTTCTCGGTAGCTCGTTGGAGGGCTAGATGGGCCGGCTGAAGTCCCCCTGCAACAGATATTTCTGCAGTTGCCTTGTAGCAGCCGGCGTTGAACCTCAACACTGCTTCATGCAGTGCAGTTTCGACAGCGATCAGCAATGCATACTGTTCCTTATGCATTAAAGACCACAGGACAGAGTGGAAAGACTCAGATGCATTCTGAGTCTTTGCTCCCAAGCAGCGTTGAAGCAGAGAAACCTGCGACAGGCGTTGGTAGACGGGCAGCATAGCTGCAGCGACGTAGGCTGGGAGTTTGTGCTTGTGCTGAGGCTCACCTTTTGCCTCGGCAACTCTATGAAGGCACCACAATTGAGCTCCCTCCGGGCAGAGTTCATGGTGAGGCTCCTGGTCAGTCGACGTGACATGATGGTAGGTGGCCATAACAGCACGCTGCATCGCTGCCACATCCTTGGGAGTTGTTTCGGAGGGCCCAGCCATAGTAGTCGGTAAGCTTGTCGATAAGGGCCTTCGCCAACTTGCCCTTACCGCTCAACGGCTTGTCTCTCTTCTGGACAAGGTTGCGCAGTGCCGTTCCCATCCTCTTCTGAACATGGTTCAAACACTCTTCCTTCACGATGGGGACTAGCCCGTAGACGTTCTCTTCTGTAAGGGCAGAGAAGGTCCTGCTGTCCCCGTCGGAGACAAGTGCTGTATACCGCAGGTCGTGCTTGGAGAAAGAGTGCTTGAAGAGGGTCAGGGCCACCTCGACCTCCATCCTCCCATATATGGAGTCCGTGTTTTTCTGGCAGACATGATGCATGTGCCAGCTGTCATACCCTTAATCTCCAGGCTTGGGTCCTGTTTGGCACCCAAGGCACAGGTTGGATAAAACCACGGCATCCAAGATGAGGCCTGTGTGGTATTCTATGACTGCCCCGACTCCGATGTGAGATGTGTGCCCCCTCTTGTGCCATGTGCCGTCATACACCACGGTGATATCCTTGCAGAACCCCGGGTCCATCTTCTTACAGGCTGTCTTCACCGCGACAGCCGACTCGGCATAAAACTTTTCCACGCACAGGGCCTCTGGCTCTCTGAAGGTCTTCTTCAGGTGCTCCTGGAACGTTTTCTGGTGGAGACCTCTGTGGGAGACGTTCATAGCTGCCAAAAGTCATTGAGAACTGTCTGCCCCTTTCCTATCTGCTTGATTGCCAAGATGGAGCAGATGTTGACTTCGAAAGCCCTCGAGTCTTGCTTGCGTGGCGAAGTCCAGGAACTTGCAATAATGCCGCAATGGGGGCATACGACCCCGAGTTTTGCTGCCAGTCCGAGTTTGGTGCCTTTTTGGACACTCAATCCAGTCCCCGAGCAATGCTTGCACACTGTGCAGTAGAGCAGGTTGCTCAAAACGTCAATCTGAACAAGGCAGAACTTTTCACCTTGGCTTGTAGCAGAGGCAGGCGTGGGATTGGGCAGCATGGCTTCAAACTTCCTCTGGGTTGCTGGCATAGCTCCAAGTTCGGCTTGAACGGTACCACGATAAAGTCTGAAAATGTATCTCCAACCAAAAATTGAAAGGCAACCCGACGTTTCAAAACCAACACGGTTTCTTCTTCAGGGGTGACTGAAGGCACGCGGACACAGCAGCAGCTCCCAACCTCTTCGTCTTCAAAAAAGAAAAGAAAAAAGAGAATAGGAAAAATTAAAAAGGAAAAGTTAGGAAATTGAAAAAATTGAAAAAATTGTAAAATAATTTGTTATGAAGATGGTCGTCTCTTCAGCTTTTCCGTTAGGTCACGGAGGCGATGCGCGTACACAGAGGGCAGAGCACCTAGCGACCTGTTTAGGTTTCCTGGCGTGTGTTGGATTTGCCAGGATTCCAAGAGAAGTCTTCTTCGAAAAATAGGCTCTGTGTCCACCACGTGCGCGTTCGCGAAGTCAATGCGATGGTCTAGGGCAGGGGTGGCCAGGCTGGCCTGGCCTAAGAGCCACAAAAAAAACCACGGAACTTCTAAGAGCAGCGGGAGGGGGGGGGGGGGGGGGGGGGGGAAGAGGGGGGAGGGGGAGGGCAAACTTAACTTTTGTTCAGGGTCTGACGGTACGTACGGGGGCACAAGGCTGTACGATTGTGCGTATGGGAGCACAAGGCTGTCAAACTGCAAGCAGCATTGTGCTTTATTCTGAAATCCTTTCTTTTTTCCTGGGCAAACACGGAAAGGGACGAAAAGGGGGGGGTGTCCCCTTACGAGGGATTTGCGAGCCGCACTTGGACCAGCAAAGAGCCGCATGCGGCTCGCGAGCCGCGGTTTGGCCACCCCTGGTCTAGGGTATCGCAATGTTCGGCGATGGCGCTGCGCTCACTGTCAAACTTCCGCACGTCGTTCTTGTGTTGGTGGATACGCTCTGGAAAGTTCTTCGTCTCGCCGATGTAGGTTGCGAGGCACTCTGCGCAAGGAATGGTGTAAACCACGCCCTGTGCTTTTTCCTTTGGTAGACGGTCTTTCGGTATTGGCATAAACCTTCCCAGTGTGGACGTGGGCTTGTGGGCCACCAGAATACCTTCCTTTCCCAGTACTAGTGCGAGCGCTTCGCTGGTTCCCTTTACGTAGGGAACGCTTATGCGCGCGACTCGATGGGGCTGTTGGTCTTCTACTGGCATCTGGTTTTGTCTGGCGAGACCTTGGCGTCGGGCGATGCGCTCAATAAAGCTACTAGAGTAGCCATTTTTCTTTAGGTCTTCAATTATGGCCTTCTTTTCCTTCTTTTTATCAGTCTCCGACGAGCAGATAGTCGTTGCCCTACGCAGCATGGTCGAAACCACTGAGGCCTTATGACTCGTTGGATGGTTGGAGTCAAAATCGAGGTAGCGTCCGGTGTGTGTTGGTTTTCGGTACACAGCAAACGTCAGACGAGAACAAGATCTGACGTCTCAAAACGAAACTACTCAAAGAAAGTTCGGAAAACGATTGTAAAGATGGCGAAAAACTAAGCGGAGCTGACAAAGCAAGAGCGCGTGCAAGCAGACCACTACCAAAAGTAGACGACGCGAGTGGCAACAGCAGGAGAAACGGAGAAGGAGGAGAGTGCTCCGTGCGCAGAGAAATCGCGTCCCAGTCAATAGCAGTCGCGCGCTCCCCCGCACACTCCTCGAGCGCGCGCTCTGTCCAATTGCGTTCTTGCGATTGCGACATGGAAGAACGGCAACCACGCCGTAACCACGCGGCCGACGCCATTTTGGGAGCTGGCAAAAAAAAATAGAAAGAATTCACGTTCAAAACAAGACTAAGATGGCGGCCGTCGGCCTAACGCGTCAAAAATGGCGAGCGCGCGAAGTTGGGGTTGATTTTGACGTTTGACCGTCACTTGGATGCTACCCAGGCCTCGTAAATAATTGTTTTTAAATATTTCCCCGTTGTATTTGGTGCTGATAATTATAGAGAAGGTAGTTTATGAGATATACAACCGAAAAATAAGGTTTTCTAAAAATCGACTTTTTCGCGATTTTTCGGTTTTCAAAGCCCGCGTCCCCCCTTAAACAAGAACAAGAATGTTGATGAACATTAGGGCATTCCTTACGTTTCAGTTTAGAAAGCGCCATATCTGCAGCGACGTGGCGACGGCAACACTCGACGTCGCGCGACCACGGCGACTGGCAGGCAGGGATCAAATATAGTTTCCCCACAGCCATCGCTTTCAGGAGCAAGTGCTTCAGCTCACAAAGTAACTCCCGCCGCACAAAAACATTGTTTCGTTTCACAGCATGATGACATGGCTGGTACCCAGCACGCTAGTGTCGGAGCGTCCGCACATGCCCGCGTCTATGGTTGAAAACGTTTTTGAAAAGATGCGAGACAACGGGAGCGCGAAACGAGAGACAGCGGGAAAAACCATGCAAGACCGGATGAACGATTGATGCAGGGTACTTTGTGTCAGGCGGCCGCTTGCGCCACCTAGCTCATGTGTGTTTATTACAGTACTCAGTTTATGTCCCGGTTTGAAAGGAGAGCAAAATTGGTTCTTTGGCGCAGATTTAGTGCAGATTACCCATATTTCGGCAAAATGTAGAAGGATATAGTAGGGTTAGCCCCTTGGCGCAATTGGCGCAGCAATCACATTACTGGTGTATGCCTGGCTGCAAGAGAAAGGAGAGGCACTCACCGGGGATGTTGTGCACAGTGACTGCGACAACCAATAGCAGGATGCGCTTCCAGCGTTGCACACTCTCCCTGCTGTCTGGGTGGGGTAGCCGCTCAGGATCAAGGCTCACTCGGGTAGTGGTTAGGGCAGGCTTGCGTAGCTGCACCTTGCTTCCAGCTGGACAAGAGTGAACAGACAGAACCATACTTTATGGCTCTGCAGCCTCTTTGCACATAAAGCAAGCCTGGAGGCCTTCTGCAAGGCTATGGCCATATTACAGACCATCATTGTTCATGGGCACAGAAATAAAGAGATGATGATAATGATGATGCCCCTCCAGAACAGTGTTAGCCTTCTGCAATGCTAGGGGTCGTCTGCAAGACCATGGGCCTTCTGTTATGCGATGGCACTACAGAAACAGTGTTGGCCTTCTGCAAGACAGTGGCCAAACTGGAATGGTGTTGGCCTTCTTTGGGGCTAGGGCCTTACTAAAACAGTGTTGGCCTCCTGTTAGGTTATAGGCCTTCTGCAATTTTGTGGCATTACTAAAACAGCACTAGCCTTCTGTGAGGCTAGAGGTTTTCTGCACGGCTGTGGAACTACTAGAACAGTCCTCACCTTCTGTGAGGCCAGATGCCTTCTACAAGGCTGTGGCACTATTAAAACAGCACTGGCCTTCTGTGAGATTAGAGGCTTCTGCAATGTGACCCTACTAGAACAGTGTAAGCCTTCTGTAAAGCTGCGGGTCCCCTGCAAGGCTATGGCCCTATGAGACAAATGTTAGTCGTCTGTGAGGCTAAAGACCTTCTGCCCAAGGCACTACTGCATTACTCAAACTGTTAGGATCTATGAGGCTATGGACCCTTTGGGACAGCATGAACATTCTGCAATACTATGGCCTTATGGGAACAATGTTAGCCTTTTGCAAGGCTATGGACTTTTTAAAATCCTGTAAGCCTTCTGCAAGGCTATGGACCTTCGGCAAGGTTATGAACCTTGCAGAACAGCATGGCCCATGGGCCTTTGGAACAGCGTGGCTCTTCTGCAAGGCTTAGGGGCTGCAATTATCTTCCTTCATGCTGATCCACCTCTCTCCCAGCACACCGTCAAACTACAACCAAGCCAGTGCTGTCTGTCAACCACAGCAGACAATTCTGGTTTGAACCAAGCCTGGGTCATGAGTGGACAGAGAACTACAGGAGTGAGAAAACAGATTTTGCAAACCAAAATCTATTTTGGCGTTTCCTGTAGTTTTCATTGTAAAAATAAGCTACGCAAGTGAAATAACGGCAAGCTCTGATGCTCTGGCACCTGGTCCCCACAGTTAGTGCTGATTTGGGCAAAGACTGAGCATTCAGCAATGTGCACCACATTTTTTGGACTATAATCCAAGGACTGTACATGTTTAAAAGTTAAATTATTACATAGAGCAGACTCTCCTCAGGTGCAGGTCATACAAGGATTGGATTTTTCTAGGTTGTTCATTGTGACACGATGCAACAAATTTTGTGAATCACAGAGTATGTTAATGATGAGTTATGAGTGATACAAGCTAAAACAGGCATTTCTCAAGCTGTGTTGTGTATCAGTATTCATTATGTACAGACTAGGCAGTAAAAACTATAGGGTGTCGAAATACTCAGGCTCAATCTAAAATGGGCCGTAAAAATCGGCACCTGCACCTAGCAACCTAAACTTTTTGCCAAATATGTATTTCACAAGTTGGTTTTATCCTGTAAAATAAAAAAGCGTAGCCCCCTTCCTGTAAAAAGAAATAGGGTGAGAAAACTTGCCAGGGTCAACGGCGGACAGTGATGCAGAAGACGGAGTCGAGTGGCGGGGTGAGTTTGGCGCAGATATTGATAGATGGCGCTACCTCCTCATCGAGACTGCTCGCGACGACCGTGGCCTATTAAAATGAAAAATCTTTCTGTGATGTAGCTTTGGTTTAAAAATAAACATGGGCAATGATAACAAAACTTGAAATAACAAAAATTAAAAAAAAAAGCAGTTGCATGTTGATGGCACCAACGGCACTCTTGCTGCCTACGAATTTCCTCTGCATGTCGTCTGCTTTCTTTCGCTGGTCGGCTACACCTTCCGATGTGGACGCTGCTTCTGATGCCATCTATCAATATGTGCGCCAAATGCGCCCCGCAACTCAATTCGGTCGTCTGCATCGCCGTCTGCTGTTGACCCTGGCAAGTTTTGTTACCCCATTTTTTACGGAAAGGGAGCTACACTTTGTAACTTTGCATGATAAAACCGACCGGCAAAGTCACCTTTTAGGAAAAGATTAGATTGCTACGTGCAGGCGTCGATTTTTACGGCCTATTTTAGATTGAGCCTGGGTATTTAAGAAACCCTATATTCAAAGAAAAACTTTTTTTAATATAAAATTTGCTTTTGCAAATTACAGATCTTTCTAGTGGCAGTCTCAAACAAAGCGATTTACAGCTTCTTTTTTTTTTTTTCTTTGCCCATCAACGAAGCAAAGGAATGGACAAGCCTGTTCAGGCCCCTGCCCCACACCCAATCAACCATTTTTCGTGAAGACCGCGAAGGGTTTTCGAAGATTATCTCGGCAGAAATAATCCTCGAAGAACGTCGAACGGCCCAAGTCATGGGCCGGTCGATGCTGACTTTTTCCGCTCGTTTCCCGCGAAAGTCGAGCAGGCCAGGAGCCCCGATATTTTCTGGTTCTCTCGGTGGAAGATAACACAAAAAGGGTGCGAATCCTGAATAAACAAATAAAGTAAAGACATTCAACAAAGGTCAGCAGACTCCAAACACAATGCAGGTGGAGAGTCGCACTGGCCGGGTTTCCATGGCCAGGGTGGGTGGCAGAAATTCCTGGCCGATAGGGGGCGCGACTGTCGCAAAATGGTGGTGGCCAGAGGGCTCTTTTCAGAAAGGTCTTTACGCCAGGTGCGGACTACAGTCCGGAAATTATGTTACTTCATTTTGCGGCGAGAAAGGCGTGGCTAACCTCTCTCCCCTCTGAGCGCCGCTCAAATGAACACCGATTCGTCTGAACTGGGACGTTCGCGCCCACCTGACGAATACCCGTTGGTGTGGGAGGTTGTCGACTCGTCGTCACTGCTGACACGTCGCTTCAGCTGTGCCCGCTTCTCCACCTGCATCGCCAGGGCCAGGTCTGCCTTGTGCCCGTCCTGCACCATCGCGTGAAGAGTCTCTAAACGGTGCCACGCAGACCACATTCATTTGCATGCATGTCACATCCTATTAACGGGGAGCCACAGACATCTTTTTCAGCTGCCCAGACAAAACACACGTTTGTAACACCTAGGCCTCCTGGCATGCATTTATCATCTCTAGGAACTGAGAAAATGGCAAATAAAGGTTATGTCAAAACCAACATTCGAATTTTCCTGCGTTCTCCAGTGGGGTCGCGTCACATGTTGTGTAACTTGCAGGTCAAGAAGGGAGTCTAAAAAACATTGGCTTGATTTTCTGTTTTCTTTTTAACACCGAAAGACAGATTACTTCAGGTGCTCGTAGTGTTGAAATCAATAATGGCCTCGGTGTAAATGCGGCTAATTAGCTATGGCGGGATAAAAGTGAATGTTGCTGACGGGGAAGTGTAGTCATCATTGCTTCGTTTTCTAGGGAACAAAGAGTTTGTAGGAACACATCCACTGGCTCCATGCCTCGGAAATTATCGGAGATTCTCTTCGAATTCAGTGAACTGCAGCGAGACAGACGGAGCACTTAAATGTTGCTTTTAAAGTTTCTTGTGAAGTATCCTTTGCCCTTCTTTTCCTGTTGCCAGCATTCAAACGGTGCAAAAAAAAAAAAAAAGAGAAACAGAAGAGTTGAGAAACTACTCATTTCAAATGTGCACAAGCTGTAATGGTGAGAGAATGCTCTCTCGAAAACCGGACAGGTCTAGGGTGGAGACAGAGATGCTGCACACGCAGAATATTATGTAAGCAACAAGGATTTATGAAAAATTAAAAAGATAATGTGAGCTCTTTCCAATTTTCAATCCTATCTTGTGTACAGTACTTTATTAAAAATAATATCTGTATTCAAACCGATCAATTTTTAATTGTACTTGTATATTTCTAAATATAATCTGAAAAACCCGAATATTAAATTAATGAAATAAAAGCCCAGATTTCTCCCTGATTACCATTTTGATTCAAAGCGCCCAATCTTTACCTCCCGATTTTTGAAAAATATAATATTTTCACCCCTGATTTGATCTCGACTTTAGGTGAGCTATCTCTCAGGGTATTACGGCAGCGTGCATTTTTTGTTTCTTTTGTTCTGCCGACGTGACTTTCTTTAGGACTGCTTTCACACCACCAAACTTGTAACCCCTCGGTAAAACATGTGACATTACAATTTCAGTGTTGCCAATGAAATTTCTCAGCTCAAAATATAAAAACGCAATACCTTTGGAAAAAAAAAAAAAAAAAATCAATCTGATTTATAATTTGGGTTACGAGTTCAGATATGTCTATTACCGTATTTTCCGGGCTATAGTCCACGGACTATACATGTTTAAAAGTTGAAATTTCTGGCTGTGCAGACTATCTACGCGTGCGGACTATACAGGAATTATGTTTTTCAATATCGTTGATTATGACGAGACGGGACGGATTTTGTGAATAAAAGAGTATGTTATTGATAATTTATGTATATTATAGGCTTTTTTTGTGAGCTAAGAAAAGAAAACGTCAAGGTGTGCCGCGTATGGGGAGAATTTCGTTTCGTGTCGACTAAGCGCCAGATGCGGACTATGCACTGGGTGCGGACTATGCAGCGGGTGCAGACTATCTAAGCAAAAACTTTCATTTCTGACCCCAAATTTGCCTCTACGGACTATTCGCGACTCCAGCGACCTATAGGGGGCGCCACCACCAAACAAACATGGCGGCTGAGTCCAGGTCGCGTCGGCTCGGCCGGGCCGCCTGAACAGGTGGCGCGTTCCATTTAACAGATTTTCTTTTGTTTAATGCCCAATTTTATAGGTATTTAAACTGAGACGGTTAAGTGTAGCCGGTGCACATAAACTTGCAGAGCATAGTTTTGTTTTCCAATTGTGTTTTTTGTTCTTTTCATGTCAAACTTTCGTTTCGGAGATTTCGTTCGAGACCGAAACTATGGGCTCTGGAGAGACGGTAATATGCTAATCAGTTTTGATCATCTAAGGAAAGCGGCAATGAATGCAGAATTCTCCCACCGACAGTAATTTTCAGCCAACTCGCATGCCTCAGACATGCGACCTATCTGTCCGCGAAATCGAGCTTTTGTGCGTATCCGCGTTTAAGAAACAGCTTCAGTCATATGCTCGGTCAACAACACCGGCTGCAGGAAAATTACGAAAATTAAGCAAGCGCTTCTTGAGTCAAGGAGCATGTTAACCCGCCGGCACCCCACTAAGCAGCTGATACTCGTATTTCAATTCAGGTTTTAGTAGCAATCGAGAAGTCATTTTGACGAGCGGGTTATGTATTATATTACGTACTATGGGGGGGGTCCCACTAAAGCGATATTAGTATATTCTTCGGTTTGAAATATGAGCTTAGTTAAGTAGCTATTAGGTGAACTGCTGAATGAAAATATATTTGACAGACAGAGAGATACTAAGTTAAACTTAACCAAATGGTTCTAGCCGGTAGCACGGAGACGAATGCGGACAAACTGAAGAGAGTCTTCATTGGAGATTCACGCAGAACCTCTGTGCATTGAATTTGACTTCGAATCCTCAACAGAAGAAATTAGCATTTTTGTGGTCGGTCAACCTGAGCAATGTAGACGTATATTGCTGCTGGCTTAATTCGACGGGGGTATAATATAAATATTGGAGGCGCGATAGATCATAATGCCGTGACAGCTTCTAATGTTGCGAGACGCGTCCCCCACCTTTTGAAAACAGATAATTTCCCTCATTCATCATTTGCAGCGAGCAGGTTTTCCTGAATCAAGTAATTGCGAAATTAGCCCAACTCGTTCAGAGTGGTCCAGAGGATTTTTCGGCGAAAAGCAGCCAAGATGAATAGCCAATGCACCGACCGGCGTGGGTGGCTCAAACTTGAAGCTAATCGAACACAACCAAACTCAAGAAAAGCAGCTATCGAACCTTCCCATTCACTTGACTGCAGCATTGGTGCTCCCTCCAGTGAAATGCCTCGTCTGTCGTCCTCCCACTGTCCTACATTCTCATAAAGAAACCCCTTATCAGTTACGAAGTAGTCGTCATTTTGAATGTGATTCGAGACAGACAAGAAATCAAAACGTTTTTTCCGCGATTCCTCCCCATCCAAAAAATCAAAAACATGTGATGGAAGGAAACAATCTACTGAGGTTTCGCCACACTAATGAACACTCAGGCAAACTTAAGAAATTCCCAGACCTTCGTTAAATTACATTGTTCACCATCGCGCCGACAACACGTGTTCGCGAAAGCTACCAGAGCCGCGGAGGGGCGCGGAGCGACCTGGACCGGCTGTTTCCCGGTTTTCCCGCTTGGTGGCGTCCGTTTTGCTGGAGTCGCGAATACACCGGGTGCGGACTATAGTCCGGAAAATATGGTAATATGTCAAAACAAGTTTGAGGCAAATCAATGTGTATAAAAAATTTAATCATCATCATTTTTAACGACACTCCTACTCTCAGCCATTTGTCACTGTCTGCACATTTTCCCGCTAAATTTAGCAGGGAAAGAGATGTTGCGTGACACTGCGACTTGACAATCTGACTTTGTGCCACATGACTATGTGGAGTGACGTCAAGTCATGCAATGCCAAGGTATCACGTGACACTATGACGACGCTAAGATCACATTGTGCGATCACGTGACAATTTTCCAGCTAAATTTTGCATAGAAAATTGATGTCACGGTGTCAACTTGAGGAGCCACGTGGCAGCATCAAAGAAAAATTTAGCAGACATTTCTCTGCAAAATTTAGTAGGGAAATGAATAAAATGTTCTCCTCCCCTAAAATGACTGTCTAATGTCTTCTAAATAAATTCATACAATCATTTCTTAAATACCGAGTTCCACACATTATGGCACTTTGCAGACAAAGGTTGGTGCTATTTCTTTTACAACCAATTAGTAGCGAAGAGTAGAAAAAAGATTTGCTCATTTTTAGAATGCCACTGTAGACCAGAGGGAGGGGTGAACGTACTCTAACGAAGTAACCAAGGGGCAATAGACGACATGTGAAGCTACTTGGAAGCCTAGAAACACTGTGCACACGGCCATCTTGGTAGCATCGAGTTTTTCTGAGTTTTGGTTTCTACACATTTCGAGTGCAGTAGCACTCTGCTGCTGATTGTGATGCAGCAATTTTGTGATTATCCAACTTCCTGTCGTCCAGCATGGACGAAGAACTATGTCATTGTGCCGTTAACTTGTGAGGACGCTTGTTGATTCCTTACTTTTTGACACAAAGGCACAAGAAGTTGTATCGATGAGTGGTAGCAGCTATCTCCATGCATGACACTCAAAATTTTAGTGATTTTTTCCGTTCTCTGCCTAACGAAAGCTTCAGTCGTTAAAAAGTTCAGAGTTTCCGCAAAGCAAGCTGTGCACACAATATTTTTCTAGGCGTTGTAAAGAGCTAAAGTCAGATTCCGGTAGCTCTGACAGCAGTAGAGTACAGACGACGGATGTCGTGCCGATAAACGAGGATTCGCCCAACCCTGGCAGAAAGACTGCACTTCGGTACCATTTTTATAAAAGAAGACATTGCTGATGCTACCCACCGAGTTTATTCGGGCGCTACAAAATAAGTCAAATAAATGAAAGAAATCACCCGACTTAGACCTCTTAAAATGCAATAAAGATGCAATAGCACCTGATGGGGTTTTTAATGAGCAGCACTTGCTATTGGAATGACAGGTAACGTGCCACATGACTAAGGATGTGTGAACATGTAAAGGACTCATGTTCCTTCTCCGTGTAAACCCTTGAAGGCTTTGCATCATTTCGTTTGAAACACTGCCGCACTTATGGTCTGGCCGTGGAATGCCTCCATGTCTTATTGTACTAACACAGTTTCCACCTTACTATAAGTAGCAGTTGTTCTTCAATAGCAGAGGTGGCCAGGGGAGAGAGAGAGAAGAGTGTTAAAGTAGCACTAGACCACTTTTTGCGATAGTCTATTTATGATCATAACTCAATACACAGGCCCTAAGCATACCAAAAAACCAAACTTTACACTCATGCATGGCCAATTTCTCTATCAAAGATTGATTACTTAGGAGAGACCCCAGAATTAGTTATGACCATAAATAGGATATCGCAGAAAGTGGTTTAATGTGCCTTTAAAACACACTGCTTAATGCACCCCTTTCCCATTTCTGTGGTCGCATGCAACATGATGTCAAACAAACAGCATCGTTCTGTTGCCGACACTTTCTCCCGTGACCTGGCCACGGTGTGACCAACACAAACGAGCAAGGTCCGTGAAGGGATCTCATCTAAAGCTATCACTTTGAGACAAATGAACGAGTAAATGAATAAATAAATTAATCTTCCACAAGTTGGAAGGTAACCCAAAAGGCTCTCACGTAGGAAGGGATGAGCTTGTCCATGGCGTAGACGAACAGCGCCCCCAGGAGGAACCCGAGAGCCACGGGAACAAAGGCGAAGCGTCCGTCCTGGCCATAATAACCAGACGTCTCCGCAATTTCGATCGCCGGCGCCAGAAGTGACCAGAACGAGGCAGCCAGCATGACCTGGAAACAGCGCACCCCGCAATTTTCTGCGTAAAGCTCCTTCGCATCTAGACTGCGTGTGGACTGTGACTACGCTTGTGATTTCGTTATGTCTCCCCTCTATCCAACACCTACTGGGTAACAAAGTTGAAGTGCTATATTGCCGCGTGCGTGGCAGAGGTAGCGGTGCATGCGGCCAACACGCGAAGGTGCGGGGTTCAAATCTCACCTTCCTGGATCTTTCTTTTAACAATCGCAGTGATGTGATTGGCCTAAGCCAGTTTGGAGCACCTTTTGGAGCATCCAAAACAGTGTTTTGGAGCAGCGGGAGTAGTCTTTGGAGCAGCCAGAGTGTTTCAAAGCAGCAAAAGGGGCTTTTCAAGCAGCCAAAACAGTGTTTCGGAGCAGCAAGAGTGGCTTTTGGCACAGATATTCTTAGAAAAATAAAAATATTTGTTTTAAGTGCTGGACAAATGAAGGGCACTTTGTGCTGTGCTGTGTTGTGATGTGACGTGTTGTGACAAAATGCACTGCTTGTGTTTTTACTGCTGAGACATCTCTCGAGTGTGCAGAGCTGTAGGCGTCGCCGAGCAATTCCGAAAAACCGCCTGCCACCGTTTTATTGGTTCCCGACGTGCCAGACTTTCGTCAAAAGTAAGCAAACGTAAAACAATAGATTGGAAGCGTCCCGGGTGGTGCCTCTGTCGTGCAATCATGTTCACATGCACGTGGGAGCAACTTTGGCAGGCTTGCAGTTGCATGTGCGTCGTTGCGCGAGCGGAGAACACGGCTGTTCAATTGAAATTAAAACCATGCCACTCCACTCCGTTGCCAACTGGTTCCCAAAATTGTATGTAAAATGTAACTGTCCAGCATACGACCAAAAACAGTGCAGCGGCGCTTGCTTGCCAGGCCGGCAGGTGAGGTACAAGCTAAACACAAAGAATTAAAGAACCTGAGTGCATCGATGCTTGACATCTCGAACCATTATCAAAACGTTCTTGAAGGACTTTGTCCAACGACTGAACTCGAGACAAACAAGTGCAATGTGCAGGTTTAGCACACAGACATTGCTTCCTTTGCTTTAGCTCACTTGTCTTCACCAACACTCTTTCACGGCAGATTTTTCACGTACCGGGGTCTCTCTCGAAAGAAAGCCCACCGAGAGAAACCTAGGTAATTAATCTCAATCTTTCGACAAGCAGTCTTTGAGTTAAATAGGGATTTTTGTAGTAGCGTATGATTTACACAAGAACAGAAATGTTGATAAACATGCGGCAGAAGTTACGTTTCAGTTTAGAAAGCGCCATATCTGCAGCGGCGTGAGGACGTCAACACCTGTGGTCACGCGAGTGCTTCAAGCTCACGAAGTAACTCTCACCACGCAAAAGCATGGTTTTGTTTCACAGCATGACGGCATGGCTGGCACCCGGCATGCTAGCGTCAGGGCATCCACACACGCTCGCGTCCATCGTTGAAAATATTTTTAAAAAAGATGCGAGAAGAGACCTTTAGACGACAAAAGCGTGAACAGTTGGAAAAACCATGCAAGGCCGGATGGACGATTGATGCAGGGTACTTTGTCTCGGGTAGCGTAGGGCAGAGCCGTATATTGGGAGAGTTTGGCCAGTGGGTGTGGCGACGAAGGCGCCGGAGAGGAGAAAAGTAAATGAAAGGGAGGAGAGCGCCGAAGGAGCGAGAGAGAAAGAAGGGAGCAGAGAGGAGATGACCGCCATTTTTTAGCAACGCTGTCGGAGACTGGTCGGAGAAGAGCACTGCTGAGGCTACGCGTCGTCTGCTACGGGCCGACTTCTTTTTCGCCTGAATAAAACTTTGTGGCCGTACGCCGAAAAATCTTCATTTATTAGCTTTTTAACCCACCGAGGAATAGCAGAATGTCATTTTCTTGCCAGAGCCAGCGATATAAAAGGCAATAATCGAGATTTAGATGCCGATCCCACGCATTCCACCGGAAGAATGCTCGAAGATGGCGGCCCTCCCCACTCAGGTGGGAGCAGCCGGGAGTTCACGCGCATACGCTCATGCCTCTCGCTCTACGCCGCGTGCTGATTGGCTCACTTGGGAGGAGAGTGTTACGGCGGCGAGATCATAGACTGACCAAAGTCTCCCCATATACGGCTCTGGCGTAGGGCTGTCGCTTGCGCCACCTAGTGCACACATGCTCAATTAGGTTCTCAGTTTAGTTTCAGTTTTGAAAGGCGACCGAAATTGTTTTTTTGGGGCAGGCTTGGCACAGATTACCCATATCTTGGCAAAATATAGCAGGACGTAGCAGGGTTAGCCCCTTGGCGCAGTTTGGCGCAACTGGCGCAGCAATCACATCACTGCGATCATACCCTCCACTGAAAAGTTCCTGTTTATTCTAGGCAAGTACCGCAGGCTCTCAGTTATAACTTTCTTGAACAAGGTGTGCACATAAAAAAAATCCATAGCGCACCACTGCGGGCCAGTCACACTTTCGCCACCGTTGCAACGAGTGCGACACCTTCCTTGTTTCAGTTTCAGGCATAGGTTTGTCTCACTTTCTTGAACAAGGTGCGCGCATGAAAAAAAGCCATAGCATGCCGCTGTGGGCCAGTCACACTTTCGCCACCGTCCCAACGAGTGTGAAACCTTCCTTGTTTCAGTTTCAGGCATAGGTTTGTCTCAATAAACATTTGTTTTTCGTTCTAACTTCATCTACCGTCCTTTATCCGTGACAATATCTTGTATGTTGCCAACCAGAGCTCAGCGTGGGGTGTGGACCAAGCACTCGGGCTGCGTCACACGAGAGCAGCAGCTTGCGACGTTAATCCTTTTACGGGTTGCTATGGGAACGGGCTGAAGACCCTTTTGCCATAGTGACCTATAATAGGATTAACGTCGCAAGTTGTTGCAGTCGCATTTGATCGGACTCAACGCAGGTGTGTGAATCGACCTTTAAAGTGGGACGGAGTTCGGTGGCTCATAACGCTTCTGTAGTAAAGTGACGAGTCATGTTTAAAGGATTTTTAGATGAGGTGCACTTAATGGGATAGTGAAACGAAATTCTAGCACCTATTTTATTCCCTAAATGTCAACCACATTCTGGTCACACCATGGAGACACCAATTTTTTGCTTGAAAAGACACCAAAAAATTTATTTAAAAGGAATAAACTGAATGTGTTTGTCGCTATGCACTTAAACGCAGCGCCGCTCCGCGGAAGTACAGCGGCAAGCTGCGTGCGCACGAGCCCTGTCAAACCGGATTTTCCTTCTTTCCTGGGGAGCGGGGAAGGGCAAATAAAAACGGCCAGTTTGTAACGCGTTGACAATGCCAAGTGGCAGAGCTCACCCATACATAAGGTACCTCAGAATGCATGTTTCGCAGTGCTACGGAAGCCATCTAGGAAAATCCAGATTACGGCCACTGTCTTGATGAAGAGCTGATCCTCCTCTCTTTCTACTGTAAAACAGGAAATAAGTGGAGCCCTGCGGGTATCGCAGTTTCGCTATTCCCGTACGACCTGCACCCGCACATTTGAAGTTCGCATCTAATCCAATCAAAAGCTTTATATATAGTCCTATCCGCATCCAAACCTGCAATACGCAATTTTCGTTACACACACATGACACATCAAAGTTCTATTCTGAGTATTGCTCAGTAAAATCATTTCATGGGCCATTTTAAGCAAATAACTAATAATCTAAAAAGTTAGGGCAGGAGATAAAAGTGTTAGAATAATTGGAATGAGAATCAGTAAAGTGAATAACTGGTAACTAGTTTGTCGGCAAGAGAATGAATGGTGATCTGTCTTCTGCAAGAGTGCTTGTTCGTGTCTTCCCGTCGCTTCAGAGGTGGCATGCAGCTGAAGTGGTGAGTCACTTACCCCAGCTGCGAAACCGAGGCTGCCATCGAGAACTTTCCTCTGAAACCCAGAGAAAGAAACGGCAATCAGTCTCCTTTCATGATCCATACTCCAAGCTGCAAGGCATGAAAGAGCAGTTGATTGCTCAAAGCACTCGTTCAGAACTTTAAAAACACGGCCGCAGCTCTGAGATTTGCTCGCTGTGTCACAGGTTCAGTAAAATGCCGAGCACGCACCCATTCATGATCTGGAGATGGCCTTAGGAAACTGAAGATGAAGGTTAATTAAAGGAATACTAAGGCAGTTTTTGATATTACCTTTTTATTGCACTAACTCCATTTATGTAAACCTAAGAACCCTAAAAGAAACACGAAAACCACAATCTGGGATGGCTTTTACCTCTCAAAAACGCAAGTAAACATTGCAGCATGCCCGTTTTTACTAGAAGTATCTCAGAAAATGGCCGTAATACAACGCTTGGTTCCGTTTTTAATAAAGAAAAAGGCCTTGCATTGTTGTTATATTTAATTTCTTAGATATTTGGGCGCATACACTGAGTTTCCACCGCACAGGTACACGCCCAGAATCTACTCTAGTACCAAGACTGAGAGCAAAAACACCATACAAGCACATGACAGGGTTGGGTTTTACCACTTTGCACCAGAGTAGTCAGAGAAGCGGCTGATGCAGGGAAGTGGTCCAACTGCACTCCATTTTACCTTTTGATGGACCCCCCCAGAAGCTACGAGTCAGCCGAATCAATCCAGCACTGTGCTGTGACGCATCACGTGACTAGGCTTCCCAGGCATTGCTGCACCCCCCCCCCCCCCAAAGGTTATGTGAGACTCGGTCCATTATAACATTAAACGAAGCAAAGCTAGGTTGGGTAAGAAGGCTGGGGTGGGTACCTGACATGCCATTCGGTTGTTTCTCAAACTCTTTTAGAAGTAGCAAGGCGGGTGTTTAACATGACGTGGACACATCCTCGGTATTCTACGAGATGTTGTGATAAGGAAGACTCGGTACCGAGCTTGTAATGAGGAGAACCTCCAGGAAACCTATTTAATACTCTGTGGGGATGTGGGGAGACAGATTTTGTTTTTGTTTACCCTCATCTTTACAACCATGTTCTTTACATAAAATTGGATGTCGCAATCTTCAAGTGCAGTGCTTTCTATGTTGCTTTAAAATCTTAGCCTTGTTTTGGGTGTGTGCACGTGTAAATATCAAGTGAATGAACACGCCGTGTTGGATTATTTTTTCTCGCATTATTGGCAGACCATCTACCGTAGAATACCGTGCATCCGCCTATTCCCTATTAAGCGCCCATGTCCAAATTTCTAAGATCTGAGAAAATATGCACAGTACATTTATATGTAAAATTGATGACTGAACAAGCACCCATTCCCCATTTTTTCGCGATTATCTCTAAATTTTGAGTGGGCACTTGCCCAGTATTTTACGGTATGTTCTCTACGAAGTCGACAGTCCCTTTTAAGATACAATGTGCCTGAGACCCAGTCCTGATTTTTTGATGAGGACTGAAGATTATTTAACTGCCCCTTTCTAATAAAACATTTGCACAATTAGTTTTCTTTTGTGAAACTCGGCATACGAAAAGCAGTGGAGACCACCAAAACCAAATCTTCTTCCAAGAGTCATCTTTATAATAATTGATGGATTCTCGAAAGGAGTGTCAAAGCTTTGACGGCACTAGGCACAACTGATGAGAAAGAGTTTGTCACATGTCTCCCTCCTGCTCAGTGACTGGCTCGACGGCACCGTGTCCTTCCCCGTTTGCCAACTTATGGCGAGACAGAGAATAGATGGAGAATAACATCTTGCAGTCGCCTATCAAAAATCTACGTTAGTTCAACTAAGGAGAAATAGTGATGCACTCTCAATGAAGGCAAGCAATGATTCTTTCTTTAATTTTAGGGCTTCCAGCTCCCGGTATTAATCGTTCCAAAATGCCGTGGCACAGAACAGCACTTGTCATGCGTCAGCCGAATCATTATTTGTTAAACAGTTTATGAATAGCAGTACCTATCAAGGGATCATATTAATCATTCACAAAAAGTGGCACTTCTATTTGTAACAGGACTAAACCTAGCAGACCCAAGTGCAGAAAGTGTCATGGGGCAACATAAGCAAACAAAGGAAACTATTACATCGCCATGTTGCACAGGGAACAAAAATGATATGCTGATGTTATGCTTTCTTGTAATTTTACCGTGATGTCATCTAAATGGCAGTGTCTGTCTGTGTCTGCAAGATCGTGGTATATGACATTTAAAAGATGTCGGTGCAATCCCTCTGCCTTAAACAAAGTGTTAATTATGACCTCAACACTTTCGGTAGGAGTATGTCAAGAGTCTGCACTATTGTGAAAGACAACGCACGCCTGTCTCAAATGATTTGCCGACAGTTAAACAACACCGCAGCAACATTTAGTGGGACTATGTGAGAGAGAAGATGAGCTAAATTTGAAGTTGGTTTAAGAACGCACTCTGTCAAGTCAGCAGGGCCGGTCCCGACATCTCAACCTTCCAGTAATGCCAAACAACATGGCATGATGATGCATAACGCTTGTGAGGTTTCACAAAGCAGGGTTGCGACATTTCGCGGTGCTCGGGGACAAGCACGTGCGACATTTGTAGTAACGTAATTCTCGACAGCTCAGAACTCGCATTTAATGAGGAGCACGGGGAGACTTGGCCCGTTCTGTTACATTGCATACATACTTCCATTTTATTGTTTTCTTTTCTGCGGGGGGCAGACAATTCCTTCTGCTGGGTTTATGTGCGGTATGCCAACGCCACGTCTGACGAAACCGACGAAGCAACACCAAAAGTGTGTTGTCATGGCACTTGTTGTCCAACTAAACAGATCATACGAGGAAAAGAAGTGTAGGACCACGGCACATTCGCTGTATATGACTGGTTTAGTCAGTGATAGCGAATGGGCAAAGGCTACGGGCGCTGTAGCGGTGCATTTTTGGCGCTGCTTGATCGGCTTTGTCGGACCGTAGCGTGGGCTGCAGCCGGACTTGGAGGGACACTAGCGGGGTATTTATGCTTGCCAAGGTTTTCATTTGTATGTGACCAGGGTTTTAAAGTACCTAGGTACAAGTAACTGGAAATCGCTATCTAGGTACTTTTGTTGTACCTGAGTTACAAACCTAGGTACTTTCATTTCTCGGTATCTGTATCAGTATCTTTGGTACATTTTCTAGTAAATTATAACTTAGTGAAGTTACTTTTTACAGCAACTCTTCTATTCACTTCCTCAAAATGGTAGAAACCATAAATCTTGAAGTATTAACACACTACCACGTGCCACGGTTATTGGTGAGTTGGGTACGACCCAGCAGGCAATGACTTGATCGAACGACGACACTTCAGCAAACGGTGGTGTTCATTTGAGCGAACAGTGGATTAGCGATGCCATTCTAGTGACACCAATTTGTCGAATCGCTTCAGAACTCTGTTTAGGGAAAATAGTGACCTGGTTCCTTAATCTCAAACTGAAATCGACTTCATTGCATGTTTGAAGCTCCTTTGACAGCTATACAAGGAAGGGGATAGCTTGAAAAGATATGCACAGTTTCTGTCAAAGCACCTGTATCTGGGAAAAGTGGCGCATTCTCTTCCCTCCTCCTAAGCTGCGATCAAAGATGTCAGATAAACATTTCAAGGTGGTTCTGATTCTAATGTCAAATAGAGCACTTAAGTGAAAAAGATAATGTGTCTGGAATGCTCATGTGAATGCTGTTTTCCTTATTAAGGAAAACGGTTAATCAACATATTTACTGTTTTTAAAAGGAAAGGAAAACGGGAAAATTAAGTTACTTCAAAAATGTACCTAAGATACAGTTATCTTTTAGAAAAGGTACCTAAGCACTCACTTAAAAATGTACCTAGGTACAGGTACAGTTACGTCAAAGATTATTTATTTTCTCCATATTTGCCAGAATATATTGGAAGTAAAGCTTTTTATACTAAGAATACAAACATAAACGAGTTCGATAAATGGGCTTTATTGGTGTCAATGGATTCTGGCAAATTTGGGGAAAATAAATAATCTTTGAAGTAACTGTACCTGTACCTAGGTTCATCTTTAAGTACCTTTTCTAAGAAATAACTGTATCTTAGGTATATTTTTGAAGTAACTTTTACAACCCTGTACGTGACACACGAGAGCCCAACTACCCAGAACAAAGTTTGCGGCTCGAAATATATCCTCTTTCCAACCAGAAACCGCCGACCGAGAACTGGCCGCTTTGAGTCACGCTCACTCTCTTTTTCGTGGGCACGTGCTGCTCTCTGTCGTCTACACACACACAACAAAAATAATCAGGGTCGCGGGTTATCAAAGGCATGCACGCAAAATTAAAAAAAAGAAAAAAATATTATACCCATTTTATTCTGGCTTTTAAAACCAGTAAATATGTTGATTAAGATAAAAAAAATAAAGAAAAGCTGAATAGAGAATTGGAAGCACTCTGTGCATTCTCCGCGTAATTCTCGACATGGCGTCGTATCACAGGAGTTGCGGGCTGGACGGCTGGACGAAGCGAACTAAGCGATGGCGGCGGACGACGGGCAAGGGACTTTTACTTCAGAACAGCTGTTCACGGTACCGGTGACTCTGTCTAGCTTTGAAAGAGAAATTGTCTACCGATCAAAGCAATCAGGATTAATTTCGTATGACACGCCCGACCATCAAGCAGGTTGCACGAAAAACCAAAAGTCAAGAACCAAGTGCTTGACTTTTGGAATTTCCGTGCAACATGCACCCTCCGCGTTTTCCGTCTGCTTCACAAATAAAAAAAAAGAATGAAGGAAATAAAAGAGAAAACACGGTCGGGTGTAGCCATGTGACTTCCGCAAATTCTCTCTGCCTCTACATTTCTTCTTCCTCCCCAGTTCAGTTTCGGTTTCGGTTTTGAGCAGTTGTGTTAATTGACTTTATTAAAAATATATGTGAAGCTGTAGCAAAATATTGATTGGGTAGTCTTCTGACACCATATAAAATTGTCAGAAAAAGAAAAAGAAACA